CCCCAAAACCCCAAAACCCCAAAACCCCACAAGTAAGATATATGTATTATCAAAGTTGATGCAGCTTATAAAATTTATTCAAATTCATATAAATGTAAGTTATTGTATTATATAATGTTAATGATTAAATCTTAGAAAAAATCACTATATAATTATTTATCAATCGATATTATTTGATCGTTTTTCTCTAATTTTAGTAAAGTCCAACTCCTCAAAGTCTTCATTTTCCTCTTACTCCTCAGCGACTTAACCTAATTTTGTTTTTAGCTCTTCAAATTGTGATTTGTAAGGCTATTCTTAGATAGATTGATTGAATAAATGACCTTTCTTGGAAGGAGATGTATTCTTGAAATTATTGATTTAACTGCCAGCTCCAATCAACATAGTATTGCTTTAGGAACCCTTAAATTCCACAAATCTCTATTAAACTTGGTTGGCTATGTCCTCTTTCATAAGCTAAGATTACATTTTCTTTTACTAATCAAAATACTGCTATCTCTGAATATCATTTAGTCTCTCTGGCTCTAGAGAATCAGTCTTAGCCTTCTTACTCTATTTCTTTTTCTGCTTTTTCAAATTGCTTTTAAGCCTAATTCTTTCTTCGTCATTTAGCAAGGAGTTATTCTTTTCGAAGATTGATGATTTCTTTTCCTCTCTCTCATTCTTATTAAATTCAAAGTTATTGGTAATTGACTTGTCACTAATGGATGAAAATTCAACTACATCTTTGAACGTATCTTAGATCTTATATTCGAGCTCTTTATTCTCTTCTTCTTATCTCCATTATTTAATCACTTCCCATTTGTGAAGTGCTTCAGGGTATGTAGCATAGTCTATTTCAGGATCTAAATCAATTCTTACTCCGCACTAACCTTTTTACAATTGCTTCATGTTTAACTTCCAAGCTTTTTCAATCATTTCAACTGAAGGTCTTGGATAAGAGCCGCCCCAAACAGCTCGCCTACTATCAAAATAAACATCGAACTAGCTTCTTTGTTCGAGGACTGGATCACTAGTATGGTAAAGTTATCTTTTATTCTAAGCTAAAGCAGTATCGAAAATAACTCTATAGAGCCCCTTTAATCCCAGAATACTATATATCTATAATAATTTCAAGTCTACCTCTTCCAGCTCTTTAGAATTAACATAATCGAAATTAGCTTTAATTGATTAAATTGCAGATTAAGCATCTTTGAGGTAGAATTGCTCATCTATGCCTAAATAATAAAAGAGATACCCAACTATTGATAAGAAAAATCCAAATAGATCTATGACTGATATATCAGATCTCATATCTATCAACATTATTGAGAAACCAGCAAAGAACAAGCATGCACCTATCTAAATGAGTACTAGTTATTCCTTATCTTTGATATTGAAGTAAGTTTTATACTTTAATTAACTTCTGAAGACAAACATTACCATTAAGGTTATGAGGACTAGAACAGTAGTCCAGCTATTGGCAAATACATGTTGATATATAGAATTCGGCTCATAAATATTAAATAGTCCTGCTGAGTTCTCTCCATAAAGCTTTGATGTCATCCAAAAAATTGGGAATCTCAGTAACTTTATTACATCATACATATCCTTATTGTCTTTTCTATTAAGTCCAAATAATTCTCGGTCCCAAAAAGAGTTATCAAACATTAGGTCTAATTTTAGAAGATGATACTCGTTACTTTACCCAGAAGGAAATATATGTCTGAACATATTGAGTTGATTGTAATCCTCCAACATATATTGAAGTTATTTCCTATACTACTATTTATTTTGAATGTCATCAGGATAGAATAAGCGGGTGGGATCATCCATCATAATATCCTTAAATTCCTCATAGGACATATCTGAATCGGAACTGTCATTATCTGAATAATTTTTATCCATTAACAAAGTCATTTCCTTTTTTAATTCCTTTCGAATCAAGTACTGTTTTGCTGAAACATTTTTGTCTCTAATGTTTTCATTCAGTCTTTTCTCATTGAGATAGTCCCTACGCTTCTGGTCAGTAGCCTTATTTATTAAGTTTTACTTCTTTCGGATCATAGTCTGAATGTGATTGTTTCTAAGATTCTCTAAATATTCAAATTTTTCTCTTTAATCAAATCTTATCATCAACCCCTATTCCTCTAGATTTTATTGAATCTGATTCTCAAGTGAAATTATATACTTTAATTCATGCTCGTTTAAAATCGTATGTTTGAATATTATTGAATCTGATTCAATAATAGCCTTTTATAATTCGCCCTAGCTGTTTAAGTCGTATGGACTTATCTTTACTTTCTTATTCTCTATCAAATTTTAGAAGTATTTCTGTCTGTAAGCTTCGAATATGCAGGCTTTCTTATGTAGAATTGAAGCCAAAACTTTCAAAATTCTACCTAAAGCTATAAATAGAATAGAAAGTGACTAGCTTCCTTGATATTATGCAGTTTAGAAGGACTGCAAATCCTCCTCAAGTTTAAATTTGAAAGATAATGAAAATATGAGGCCAAACCCTAGCACTATGCATCCTAAATAAGAAGTAATACTATAATATCTCCCAAGCAGAAATTAACCCATAATTACTGAAGATATTATCTCAATCGGTAGAGAAATTGCAATGTATTTTATTAGCTACATAAAATTCGACTCTTTTAAGCCCATTAGCGTGAATGACCAAGACAAGGTATAAATCAGACCCACTATCATCATCTTAGCTAATCCTAGGTAATAAACATTCTAATTTGGATCAATAAATAATCTCAGCTTTTTAGTCCCATTAATTATTGAAAGAATAAAGGATGGTACTGTAAATATCAAGAAGAGAAAAATTACTAGTAGCAAGGGCTAAAAAATGTAAAGGTATTTTTACCCCCTATTAGCAAATGAAAGAAAACAGCATAAAAATCACCAAGTCATTAGTGAAAAAGTATCCCAGTTATATTAGGTTATTTTTCTCAAATATTTCATTTCCCATTTATGAGTTAAATGTATATAAATTAGGTTTAGATTTTTATAGATAATAATTACCTTAACGCTTCAATATTGGCACTGAATATTGTTTGAGGGGTTTTGGGGTTTTGGGGTTTTGGGG